GTGGGCTTTGCCTGTCAGAGGAGGCAGGGTGCCCGGGTAACGCAGCCAACCACAGATGTCACATATGGCACAATGAGAAGACACACCAGCGTCTCCAAAATGAATGCTGGCAGAGAGACGAGGTGACGCTCCCGTTTTTTTTTTTTACAGCTAGCATCAAAAGCGAGTGAACGGCATCGGTGATTAGCATACAGAATAAGGTGAGCTTGAAGAGGAGTAAACAGGAGGCCAACATTCATTTGCTAATTGTTCCTGCTGTGAATTCAATCAGCAACCGTGCAGGGTTTGTGTTTCCTTTCTGCTTTTTTTTCTTATACGCTCACGCTATTATTTACAACCGAGGGGGAGGGGTTATGTATCAAGCACATGCAAATGCAATTACAGGATATTTGCATAGCCGTTAACAATTAGAGGGCAGATGGCAAACAGCGGGCATTAAAAAGAAAGCGACCGAGCGCCATCTTGGCTGAGGGAGACAGCTGGCAGACAGGATTCGGCCATTTTGTAAGCTCGGGTCGCTGCCAGGCTGAGGCGTGTATAGAGAGGCGCCAGTCTCTCTCTCTCGCTCTCTGTGTGCCAGGAAGATTGGCAGGCGAGGAGGTAATCGTGCTTTAATACCCTCCCTGGTACACGCAACAACAACGAACTCTTCCGAACGTCAGTGACAGTGTGATCACAGACCAGAGCTCTGACGATGGAGATCAACTACAACACAATGTGTGTGTTTGCTTTGGAAACGCAGAGGTGGTATCATATCGTAACATTGGAGAGTGAATAGTTCATATATCTGTTATTCTCCGTGCATTGTCTAATAATTGAAAATTAACAGTTCGATGAGGATACTGTACTCACCAAGAGGTATCAATCCCGTTCTGTCCGTCCCTTCTGGCCTATCATGTCCGTCCAAGTCCACAAACACGTCTTCTGGCATGAACTTTAGTTTCAGGGGGATCGGTGCATAAAAGAAAGTGCTTCTCCTCTGTTTGTCTTCGTAGGCTCTCAACTTCACACTCATGTCAAGCTGCAGGTATTTTCATTTCTGAGGATTTGGCCAATTTTCTTCATCAGCAGTTTTGGTTGAAACATCAGGAGAGCAAGTTTCTTTGTGAGGAGAAGGATTGTTGCAAAAAAGTCAAATGGAAAAACTGAAGAGGAGGAGGAGGGTGATAAGGAGGAGGGCACAGAACAGGTGCAACCACTGTCCTTTTTATCTCTCATTCAATTAGCAGCCATTCACTTGTGCTGCCATGGGATCCTTGCTGCACAGCAGTGAGTGGACTTCAGGTGCTATTTCCACACATACACACACACACACACATAGAGAGAGCGGTATGAAAGCCAGGGCCCACCTTCCTCTCTCCCACCTTATAGATCAATACTGCTCTGCCATATCCTCTGATGGGAGCTGCTGTAGTGAGGGTGAGAAAATCTAAGGCGAAAAGACAGACGGTGTGTGATACAGTGGATGAGAGAAAAAGTTCAAATTGTCCTTTCATCCTGGCTCAGAAGAGATCTTACAAAACGTTGAGTGCGATACGTGCTTGAAAGTGGGACTGAGCAGAAACGTCCTGCGTTAGCGTCTCAGATGGATCCTTACTCAAACAGTTAAGGTGGAATGAGTAATAGGAGGGAGGGTGCAGGAAGAAAAGAGCTTCAACGTGCTGTCGACATGCTTATTCTTCTTCCTTTTCTCTCCCTCCCTCACTGTCTCCATGYCTCCCTGACAAAGTTTTATCAAGTGGTGTTGGACGCAGCAGAAACCCCTCCGGCAGAACCACACACAAAGACTCTCTCTCTCTGTCTCTTCCCTCTGCCTTTTTCTCTCTGTTTCACACACACATGTGCGCACACTGACTCACACACACACTGCGTGTGGGGCGGTTATAAGGTTAGGGCCCTGGCCCTGGCTGATGCTGAGACTGTTGGAGGAAGATAGAAAGAGAAATGGAGAGAGGAGCTGGGAGCAGTGGTGGTGGTTGGTCCCTTGGCTCCGAGGCCTGCAGGCAGTGCTGGGCAACCTCTGCTAGCCTCTCTCCTCTGTATTGATTTCTGCTGCTCCGCTCTGCCGTGGAGGCTCCTAGCCGGCGGGGATGAGAGCTCGGCTCACCCGCCTCACCTGCCTCTCTCCTGGCTCGGATGGCCTAGCATGCCCACTCTGCCGCAGCTTTGGCTGGCCCCTGCCGTCTCCCCGGGACCCCTGTATGCAGCGCTGGGGCCACGGGAGGAAGGCAGCTAGAGAGCCCATGGCGATCCACAGCTGCGTTCACCTGCTCTGGGTTCACCCGCTTCGAACCACCTCCTCGAACTGCTTCTATCCTTCTCTCCTTCCATCCTTCCACCCACTCTGCTTCTCTTCTTCCTCCTCCACTGCCTCCTCCTCCTCTTCTTCTTCTTCTTCCTGTTGTACACAAACACACGCAGAGACAGAGAAAAACAAGTTAATCTCAACTTTCAGAATTTCACGCACTCTGAATGTCAGTCCTGCTCTTTGATCAGCGAGGAGTCAGGGGTGAGGATTCTGGCATCCTCCCTCAGTAATATGAACCTACTAACCTCCAAGAGCAGAAACTGCAGGGATTGGAGGCCTGAGAGTTAAGTGTGTCAGGCAGAGAGATACTGCCTGCCAAAGGTACTCTCAGCTATTAGATTCTGATGTGCTGCAGATAGCAAAATATAGCAAGAGTGGGCCCATTATAAAAATCACCACTGCGTCAACAGAATTCATTAAAAATATTTACAGGGAAACGCTCTCTATTGCTCTCCCTTAGCAGCACAGGCGTACAGAGTTTTATATCTATTTTGCCCCTAATGGTCATAAATAAAGAAAGCAACGTTTAAAACTGACGGATGTTTCAAACCACCCTTCCCTCGCCCTTCTCAGCAGTGTGAAGGAATGGAAATGTTTTGGCCAGACCAGTGGTGCTCTATAGAAACTTTGCGAAAGAAAACATCTCAGCTTTTGTATCATCTTGAATTATTCAAATGGGTTCAGCAGCCCTGTTCTTATGATAATAAGAAGTTGTGGAGGGGGGGCGAGCGTGGCATTTCTTTGAGGATTCATGGTCCCATTGTGTTCCTCAACAGAGAAAGGGCCATGGCCAAATTCAACCCCCACCGCCCCACACTGCACCGCGCCAACCGCACAATCTCCCCGAAAAACGTCCTTCCTCACCACAGCCACCACAACTGCTCTGACAGTCGCTGAATCCACCTCTCTCCACCCCTCTGAAAAAGAGACTAAAACCCACGGGCCGACTGCCAAGGGGATAGAGAAGTAAAGTGCAGCGGTTTAGAGCTGGTGGGCCGGCAAGGCTTTGGAAGTTAGAGCTGTCTGTTAAATAAAGAGCGAAAGAGGGGGTGAGAGTGGTGTGTGTGTGTGTGTGTGTGTGTGTGTGTGTGTGTGTGTGTGTGTAAAGGGGTTACACTGTTGGGACAAGAGAAGCTTTAAGAGAAGAGAAGTTTGGGGGGGGCAAAGTTGAGTTAGGAGGACGTGGATGGGGACCGGGGGTGCAGTGCATGTCTCAGACACAATAATACTATTCATTGGGCTCAGACATGGGTGTTAACTCCCCTCTGACAGAGCACAATGGGACTCGGTGGCATTCAGGCGGGCCTTGGCGATATTGTTAGTTCAGGGCCGCATTCTCCCGGCCGCAGGACAGAGCGCCTGCATTGTGCCCTGTCCAGCGGGATGGATGGAGGGAGGTTTGAGAGGTGAAAGGCAAAGAAAGAGAGAAAAGTACACGTTTGTCTATCTGTCACTGCTGAGGGGAGACGAGGGGAGGAGGCGTGGGGGGGCTGGCAGAGGTGGTGGTGTTGGGGGTATTCTTTCCCCATGACATTGGACTTGTTTGTTTCAGGGGGGAAGTAAAAACAGTAACTGAGAGTACAAGAGATGAATAACATGGACAACATAAATGTTACTCAAGCAGCCGAGCAAAGGGCTAAAGAGGCAGTAAAGGGTGACGACAGCATTCTGGCTTTTTATGGGGGAAAAAAGCTTCTTTTGCATGTTGCCTTAGATGCCTTTTATTCACAGGCCACTAAAAGATGGAGATCGGAAAGACTGGAGTTATACCACAAGACCCAGTTTCCCAGAGAGGAGAGGAGACAGAGTAATATACTTCCCCATATGGATTTTCAGAACAAGAAAATGTGTGCTAGTGATCACTACTGTTACTGTTATGTGAATATTTGGAGTTTGGTGCATAAACACAGCCTGATGGTGATGATGGGTTTTGTGATGTGAATGATGGTGACACAGTTCTGATTGAACTCTCTGTCAGTCATATGGTTGTGTAGGGTTTATATAGAGGATTTTATGTTTGTATTTTAGATTTTCTAGAGAACCACTAGTCAAAAACACCTCACAGTCGGAACTGCATTTCCTGTGGTCTGTGGCAATGCAAGTTTGAAGTTGATCCAGTGATGGATACTCGAGAAAATCAACAGAATGAAAGAGATCTGTCCATTTAGTTGAAGGGTATTTTGTGGTTTGGGATCTTTAATGGCCTTCTTCTGGAATCCAGGAAATTATGACAGGGATTTTCAACTGTTGACTGTATGTAGACAAAATGATTAATTGAGAAAATAATCACGAGATTAAGTGATTATAAAAATCACAAGTTGCAAAGCAGCATGAACGTGATAATGCTGTCGTATGGAATCACGGAGACTGCAGTCACATTTTATGACAGCACTGCTAAGGATAGCAGATCTATTATCTATAATAGCACTGAGGCAGTAATGGTGAAAAAAAGGTCAAAGATATACAAGGATGCAGGATACACTGATTCATATTGCATGTTACACAGCTCACATTTGCACACGCAGAGAGGTATCACTGCTCCTTCAACCTGCTCTCATGAACACTTTGTTTGTTTCCCCTCTGGTAAACTCTGACCAGCCGTTCCCATGGCAACCGTACTCTTTCCCTGCATGTGTGAGAGAAAAAGCGGAGAGGTATGTGGGGTTGTGTGGCGGTTTACAGTCGGGACGTCGTGATATTATTGCAACAGATGTGCCTCAGCATGTGCATTCAGGATTGTGTGTGAGTGTGTAAATATGAATCAAGAGATCACATTAATGTATGAATGACCATGATTCTTTGATGTCTAAAAGCAAAAAGCTAAGCATCCAGCACGGGTCCATCTAATATAAAGTCAGGTAACAGTAGACACTAACATGTATTTACTTGCAGCCCTATATTGTCCTCGGAACTCACTCTCTGACGTCTGGAGTCAAATTGACCTCCTGAGATAAGGAAAGGGCCAGCGGTGTGATGCTGGGTTGTCAGGCAGGCTGGGGCAGGCCAGGGCACGGCTCTCGTCATGGAGCTAATGCCGTACGGGGGTGGCTGAAGCGGCAAGGGTACTGCCCTTTGTCCCTGGTTTGGGGATTACACCGGTCAACCAGCACAGACAATGTGCCCCCCTCCTGAGAAGGGAGGACCAACCTGCTCTCTACCAATGATAGGGGCAGTCAACTGATCACAAACTTAATTAAGGACTGGGGCAAGTGAGACAGGAGCAGGAAGGGTGATGGAGAAGAGAGAGAGAGAGAGGCTGGGGAGAGGTAAAGGATGAGGTGATAAAAGGGGGGATAAGGACTAAAAAAAGAGGAGGAGCAGGAGAAAAAAAGCGGCACGAGGAGCAGAGGGACACGCTGAAATAAGAAGAGGCAGGGAGTTGTAAAAAGAGCAATGGGAAGCAGAGGAGGGGTGAGGAGAGAGGCTTCACCCGCACAGGATTAGGAGAGAGAAGATGAAAGGATCAGGTCTGACGGAGAACAGGAAAAAGGCCCGGGGAGTAAGAGGAAGAAAGAGAGGAGAAGAAAGCCCAGGTGTCCATGACCTCGAGTGGGGGAGTCAATCACAGCCTTTTTTTTTTTTAAACAGGTGCACAAGTTGAAAACTCTGTTCCCTATTTATGCCTCGGCACACGCACCTATTCAAATCCAATGACGAACGCAGGCGATAATTCTATTACTGAGGACTTGAATAGAGGATATTTAGGGGACAGTTAGCGGGGGAGCATAGCTCAGGCCCGCTGCAGACAGATATGGCTCTGCAACACTTAACAACAGGGATTTGGCAGCACTGTTGATTGAACATGCCAAATCCCATTTGTCGGAGGGTTGTGCGCGTTTGTATCGACACTCTGTAACCTTGTGGCTGCGTAAAAGGAGACCCCGGAGTGTGTGTGTGTGTGTGTGTGTGTGTGTTTTCCTCCATGGCTGGCAGGTGGGTGGCATGGTGCCGCTGGATAGGTGTATTGGTCCAAGCCTCTCCGTTTATCCTTCCATCTATACATTGCCGTCTGCCTGCATTCCCTCTCTTTGCAAAAAAGGGGGTGACAAAAAGGAGATACAGAGGCTTTGTCAACATTTCTTTTCTTGCTTCCCCCCCCCCCTCCTTTTCTCCATTCCCTCCATCCCCTATGGTAGAGCTGCCAGACAGGAGCGCTCAGCAGCTCTCCGAACGTTATTGATCCTGAGAGCAAGCCGGCCGGGGAATTGGTGTCTCTCCCGCTCTATCCCTTCTCTCTCTATCTACTCCCTCCATCACACCCTCATCCCCCAAACACAGCCCTACAACTTTTTCCTCCCTCGCTCCTTCCCGCCTCTACTTCATTTATCAAGGTTAAAGAACTCTTATAAAAAAGGGAAGAGGGGGTCATCTGGATGTTATCTGACTTCATGAAAGAAATCCCCTCAGGCCACTCCACTAGAGGAGGATGCTCCTTGCCAGACCCAACTCCGCATCACACACACACACACACACACACACACAC